CAGAGGTACCTGGGGCGGTGCTGGCCCTGGTGGCTGACACCCAGTAGCACTGAGATAAGCAGTCTTTGGTTTTCCTTAAACAGGGGCATTATCTTATGACTCAGATGATTCAGGATAGCAAGCTAGACATTTACATTCAAATATGATCTTTCCTTCATTTCTAAGCCACTGATATTCAAGTTCAAGGGCAGTAAACTGAGGCCCTGACATTCACTTCCTTCCTCTTACAGTATAGTTGAGCAACTTGTGAGCTGAAAAGCTGAGATCTACTGCTAACCCAATGATTTCTTGCACCAAGCCTCAGTGAAGGCTTCCATTAACAGATGTGGCTTGCATCGTCTCTTGACAAACTGCATATACAGCCAGCTTTCTGTATCTGTGGGTTCCATTTTCTAATATTCAACCATGAATCAAAAACATTTGAAAAAACAAAATTCCAAAAAGCTCCAAAAAGCAAGACTGAAATTTGTTGCATGGTGACAACTATTTACATGGCAGCTACATCGTATTAGGTACTACAAGTAATCTAGAGATGATTTAAAGTATACGGGAGGACACGCCTAGGTTATATGCAAATACCACATCATTTTATACAAGGAACGTGAGCATCTGCAGATTCTGGAATCTGTGAAGGGTCCTGGAGCCAAATCGTATGGATACTGAGGGATGACTGTCGATGGTCAGAGACATACAGTAAGGAATGAATTCTACCATCTTCACTCTCCTGACATTGCACTTTACCCTCATGGTTCATAAGTAATAAACAGCCCTAAAGAGAAGAGAAGGAACAAATACTTTCATGAGTTTATGTCACTATCACCCCCCAGCTGACTCTCCTTTGCTAACTCAGCCAACAGAGATATTTGGTTCACCTGAGTTTAAAGAAAAATATTTTCCATTCCTTTGTTCTTTCTTCCTCCGTATTTTCCTTCCTTATATTTATTAGGCTCATTTTCTTGTTTCCTCTCTTTGTTGCTGCTTATGGTGTCTGGCAAGGAAGAACAGAGATGCTTGCATGGGGGGTTTTAGACATTTCTGCCACACTGTGTATATATAATGTGAGTCCTTTCCTATCTTTCCTCAATGTCTTGAGCGAAGTATCCATTTCTCAAGAACGCTTTGTGGAGTTGGCTCTAGTATGCTGGCCTTTTTCCTGGTGGGTGTGGGCCTGGAACGGGGGCTGCCCTCCGAGCGTCCACTGTGCTGGTTACGGAAAGAGGATGCAGTGCACACACATTCTCCCCTCCAACTTGAAGGCCTAACCAGCCCAGGCTCTTGCTCTCTCCTCAGGGATTACTGGTGGTAACATGAAGCCAGCTGAGCTGGGCTGGCGAAGAAATGGGTATTAACAATGATACTTTGAAAATGCACAAGCTAGCCAAGATGTAAGTCCTTCAGTTGTTTTCAACAATCCTTTCAGTCGGTCAAAAACACAGCGCTGGACATCCCAGACTCCTAATCCCATCCCCTAATCTACCTGTATACCTTGTTTGTTTAAGGTATTTTTTTTCCCCGCTAGTAAACACATGATGATTTAAAAAATTGCTTCATGCGGTGGAGCTGGGCTGTTTCAAAGCAGAGGTATAAGAACCATGAATAGCGAGGATTCTTGCAATCAACAGCTGTACCCTCAGACTCAAGGGGGTGGAGAACATTTGGGCTACCATGCTCACTAAAACAAACAAACAAAGAAGCAAAACCATTTCTTTGCCATTAAGTCCCTTCAGACGTTCTGGGTGAGACCATCTGAGGCCCTGTGTGGCTCTGCTGCCATGTTGGATGGGGCTTCAGAACCCCACTGGCCTGCATCTGTGAATTAATCCCAGTGTGGGTGTCAGGGATGGGGGCTTCCTACACCCCACGAAGCAATTCTCAGATATCAGCAGGGTGTCACGAATTCAACTCAGTTCTAACACCATCTACACGGAGACAGCATCAGATTCCATGGGGTAAGGGTTCAGTCCCGCAGGACTGCTCTCCCCCAACTTCTGAGGTAAACTGAAAGCCCAGGTTGTTACCTATGCTTCTGACTGGCTATAAACCAGAGGCTCCCATAGCCCCCTCCTCAGGGTTGATTAATTTGCTAGAGCGGCTCACAGAACTCTGAGAGACATTTCACTTACTAGATCACCAGTTCATTATAAAAAACAAAAAACCCAGGAGCAGCCAGAGGGAAGAGATGCTTAGGGCAAGGTGTGTGGGAAAGGGTGACGAGCTTCCATGCCCTCTCTAGGCGCCCCAAGTCTCCACATGTTCACCAACGAGAAGCTCTCTGAACCCTCTCCTTTTGGGTTTTATGGAGGCTTCATTACATAAGCATGATTGATTAATTCACTGGCTATTGGTGATTGATTCAAGCTCCAGGCTCTCTCCCCTTCCCAGAGGCTGGGGGATGGGACTGAGAGATCTGACCCTCTAATCTCATGGATGGGGACCCTGGCAAGGTGAGGTCCAATAGTTACCTCATTAACATAACCGAAGACATATTTATTGCTCTCATCACTAAGGAAATGCCAAGGGTTTTAGGAGCTCTGTGCCAGAAATGGTGACAAAGACCGAATATATATTTTTATTATGAATCACATCACAATTGACTGCTGGCTCTCCGTCTTTCTAGCTCCGTGACCTTTAGAAGTCACTTCATCTTTCTGTGCCTCAAGTTTTCATCTATAAATGAGGCCAAAAAGAGTACCTACTTCACGGACACATTGTGAGGATGAAACGAGTTGATTCCCCTAAAGCCGTTAGAATGGTCTAGCCTCTGGTGCTGGACCTCTGTTGACATCCGTGCTAAGGGACCCCACCAAAGAGTATTAAGTAGTACTGTGCATAAATTTAAATACCAGAGGGGAGAGGGGAAGCTTGGTGGCTTCTCCAAAGGAAAAAGAACTTTCAAACGTCAGGATGATAGGAAGAAGGAAAAGCTTTCCAGAATCAATTACTGAAAAATGAGGGCGGGGTTCATGGCTCCCACAGACTAGAGTGTAGGGTACCCCTTACACTTTCCCCTGCAAAGAGTCAGAAAGCAGAAGAGGGGGCGCTGAGAAAGATTTGTAATTCTGCTTTAAGGTTCCTTTTCCAGTATAATGGGTTATTTGTATACACTTGCTCTTGGCAGAACTTACATAATACCTAAAACCCAGTAAGGTCATGGTTATACACATGCAGAGACTTGGGCTTGAACAGATAACCTGAGTGCCATTTAGAAGGCACTGCCCGACCCCAGGAGTGTCATGCACGCCCCCCAGTGATAAGCAACGTGTGGCATGGGCAGGAGTGGCCTTTGAAGAAGCTTAGAAATGGTAGCTCCCCTACCTAGGAGTACTAGGTAGTACCCCCTAACTCTCTCCACATACACTCTCCTGGCCCGTATCAGCGGCAGCCTCCAGTTTTGAACACAAAGGACATTTCTTCCATGAAATCATTGTATAAAGCTGGCCTCTTTCTGTTATGAATAATCATGAAATTGGGGGTGAAGGAGAAAGGCAACTCCACATTTGAAGCTACAAAAAGCCTGTGATTCATTTTTAGTCTCTTTATTAAGCAGCCTAGTCTCAGTTAGATAATTTGCAGCAAAGTTCTACCCTGGAGCAAGTTTCCTCAGTCATGTTAAATTCATGGGGAAAATCCTCCCAGGATTTAGAACTGAAAAATAGACAGCTTTAATAACAGAAACGGTGATGTAAAGAGCGGAGAAAGGCAGTATGTTCTAACCATTTAGGGAAAAAATGGGTAAGATGTTACTAATAAGCCCTGCTATATTTTTATCCTACCGTTCTTTTCATCTGAAGGAATATTGACATGAGCTTTTAAACTCTGAAAGATTATCTGACAGCTTCTATCTTTAGGACAAATTATCAGCAAGAGTTTTATTTCGCTATTACCTTTACTCAAAACTCAGAGGACACATGCTTACCGGAGCCCAGATGAGGAAATGAAATCTACAGACAAGAGTGCCATAAACAGAACAGCAGAACCCAGCTACTTCGAGGTTGCCTTGGTGGACATTGTCCTTCTTCTCGAGTGTGGCTGGGATAGAGATGAATAGGGCCCACAGCACGCTCCTGGATGTAGTCCCAACCTAACTTCCCAGCCGCATCTCGCACCATCCCCTCCAACCACAGAGCCTATATTCCAGTTACGCCAAACTACCCACCGGTCCCAAATATGCTGCATGTTTGAACACCCTCCTTCTGCCCACATGTCCTACCTGGGCAAGCTTCAACTCATCTTTTAAGAGTCATCTGCAATGTGACTTTCTTCCAGAAATCTTTTCAACCCTAAGCAAAGTTAGTGGCATCTTATTCTGCTCTTCCATAGTTCCCGGTACCTGCTTCATTATGGAGCATAGTGCACCGGAAATCTTAGTTTACAGTGTCAGTTCCCCCTGTGACCCTGAAAGGGCAGGGACTTCACCTAGGATATCCGAACCCTCCAGTCCAGCGTTTCTCAACAGCAGCAATATTGACATTTGGGGCCAGAAAATTTCTTGGTGTGAGGGCTGTCCTGTGTATCATCCCTGGTCTCTACCCACTAAATGCCAGTGGCACACCATCCTCGGTGTGATGAGAAAGAACCATCTTCAGACATGGCCCAGTGCCTCCTGGGGAGAAAATCAGCCCGGATGAGAACTACAGCTCTAGCCCTAACAGAGAGCCTGATATATACCAGGTGCTTAATATATATTTGCTGAGTCAATAAATCAATGTCCAAGTTAATGAATAAAAACCGAATGAACCAGGCTTCCCTGGTGGCGTGGTGGTTGAGAGTCCGCCTGCCAATGCAGGGGACACAGGTTCGTGCCCCAATCCCGGAAGATCCCACATGCCGCAGAGCGGCTGGGCCCGTGAGCCATGGCCGCTGAGCCTGCGCGTCCGGAGCCTGTGCTCCGCAACAGGAGAGGCCACGACAGTGAGAGGCCCGCATACCGCAAAAAAACAAAACAAAACCGAATGGACCACAGATAAAGAAAGATCTTACTGTATCTTTCACACACTCACCAAACTTAGGATCTTCGTTCCAGAAGTCTCTTTATGACTTGGTTCTACTTTCTTCCTATTTTATCACCCTTTGTCCCTCACCTGCAGGCTCTTCCACATCCTCCGCTTTGTCTTCCTTCCCGCCAATCCAAATTCTGTACTGAATGCAAGGCAAAGAACAACTTATCTACTTCAAAAAGCCTTCCCCAAATGCACCCAATGCACAGTGACTTCTTCACATTCTTTAAACATTTATGAAAAGTTTTAAGCATATATACATATATACATACATGTATGTGCAATACTATTGGTCTTAGAACTATCATCTTTTTGTTTCACACGTGTATAGGAGTTTTCTTCTCAACCAGAGGAATCGCTCCTTGATAGAAGGCTTGCTTATGCTTTTGAGATTTTGCTTCCCCTTAGCATTAGCACAAGTTTATGAACAACAGATGTTTAGCTTTTGCTTGAAGTGTATTTTCTTCCATAAGCATCTGGCAGGTGTGTTAAATCTGTGTAATTGGTGTGGTCTTGACATAGTTTCGTTTTTAAAAGGCATAGGGCTAACTCTTTAACATCTTGCAGTTTTTAAACAAACTCATTTCAAGGAGATTCTGCAAATATGAATAAAAGTAATTTGCAATGTTATAGGATTTCTGTGGGAAGGCAGTAAATATGATAAGCAATGAGAAAGGCAAAAATAGCTGCATCTGGTCTTAAATTCTGACTGTGCTCAAACTCCACGTAGGCTTCGTTTTCCACTGGTTGGTAAAACTATCTTAAAAACATTGGCTTCCTGGTTTATTCTGAGCTCTCTCAGTGCCAAAGCATCCGTTGCACCATCCTGCTTCAGGCTTACTTACGGTGACTCATACATGCACTCTCCCAAGGCCTGTGTTTGGAAATTTGCTCAAACTTCTGGGCTATAGGGCATTTCTTTCTCACATTTTTCTTGGAAGAGTTCATGCTTTGCCCAAGAGTAGTCACCCGTGGGGATTCTGATCCTCCGTGTTCAATGGCAGGGTTAAGGGGACAACCCCAGAATGTACCCACATTGCATTTGAGCTCGACATCTGCAACAGGATCAGTGTAGACATATAGGGTGGGGGAAATGTCTCTAGCTTCACCATTCCTTTTTGTAACCCTTAATAAAAGGATGAAAGAATGCTTTTGTTCACATCTCATGGATCGTGACTTTTGGCAGAACAGCCTCGTGAGGCTTCCGTTTCTCCAGAGTTCCAACGCTGATTCCTCTCTGCTGTACCTTTTGACTCACCCTCTCCACGGCCCCCTCCTCTATGCCTACCGAGTCCTCCCATTTAAAATGCAAACGCAAACGCTTCTCTTGAGCCCGCCGCCTCCTACGGTACCATCTTGACTTACTCCACCTTGTCACCAATGCATGTCGGCCCCCCTTTATCACTTTCATGCCCCTGTCTCACTTTCATACACAGCTCACTACAATCTGGCAACCTTGGAGTATGCCCGCAATCTCAAAATACACCCACTCTTTCTTGGAACCTGGGACCACCTGATATTGCCACATTTGTATGGCCTTTTCTGGTCCTCCAGCTCCTTGATTCTGCTGGCCTGCCTGTTTGGACGGAGTGGGCGCGCCCGTTTGAAGTTGTCTCCGGGCTTGGCTTTCAGTCCCTTGAGTTTTCCTCATCCCTTTGTCTTTCTCAGACTCCTTCCTATTCTCACCGTCCACCTTAGGTCTAGGTCATTTCAGGGTTCCATCTTCAGCTTTATTCATTTCCCCCCTTAATGCTCTCCCTATGATGACTTCTTACACTGTCATGTCTTCAAATATCAATTAAATGTAATGGCCACTAAATGCTTCTCTTTACCTTTTCCATCCTCTGTAAGTTCCAGCCCAAGTTTTCAACAGACCCCAGGTTTGCCAGTCATCAAGCATCTCAAATGCATCATGTTCAAAACCAGATTCGATTCCCTTCCTACCCCCATGGCTTGCTCCCCTGTTTGTCCCTCTGTTAACGACTATTTTTTCCAAGATGTAAGCAGAATTGGTGTATGACTCCTCTGTCTCACTAAATACTGCTCATACTTCCAAAGGCTCTTGATCTGTTTCATTTTCATGTTGAAAGATGATCAAAACTGAGTTCTTGCCTCTGTTCTCTTCCTGCTCTTGTGTATGCTTTCCTCTGTGGCTCTCTGTGTTCCCTGTGCAAGAAACCAGATCTCATTGCCACTCTCCCATCCCCAAAGTTCCTGGTTCTGAAGGCAGTGGAGAACCAAGTCCAAGTGAAGCCTGGAATTCAAGGTCGCTCACCACGGTAACTCTAACCATGTTCCCTTCAGAACTTCATTTCTTACCACTTCATTGACCACAGGGGGAGGGGCCAGCCTCCCAAACTGCGTTCTAACCCTGTATGCACCATATACTTTCTTTTCCACCTGGTAAAATTCAACTAGAATGTTAAGGCTCAGCTCAAAGGGTCTTTGTGAAGCACCCTTACCCTTGGCTCTTAAGGAGAATTAACCATCACCTTCTGTGCCTACACAGCACTTTTCTTTTAGCTCTCCTAAGTCACCTTGTAATACAGTAGTTTTCATGTTAGTCACTGAGCTTGAGGAGTCCATGGTGTAGTGGGGTGAACGATATCTTATCCATTTGTTGGCCTGTCATCCATCCATCCATTACTCTGGCCAGCATTTTGAGACTACCACATTTAAGATCCCCTCCAGTGTTAATATTCTATCATTTTGAATATTATTTAATTTCTATATATAGAGAAAATAGTGTAAATTACAGGTTTAAGTACATGACATGGGCATCCTGTATCATTCGTGTCTTGATCATTATTAAATTTCCAGTGCTCAATAATAACTTAGCAGGTGCTCAATAAATGTGATTGAATAAATAAGTTAGTTCCTAGAAATTGATGGGAGGTTGACTTAGGAATACGAATAGTGGAAAACAAATCTTGTTTTTCTCGATTTTTAAAAAGTTGTTTGCTTGAAATCATTGCACTTGTACCGAACTGAACCTCTGTAGCAGCTGAAATTACTTGACTGTGACAGATAGTTCTGAGTTACATATATTATGTGCACTGTTCTCTACTCCACAAAGTATTTCCTGAGCAACACAAGTGAGCACACTCAGGGCAGCGAGGTCCCAGCAGCAGCAGGCTAGCCGCCCTATAGAATGCAGCCCTAGAGTCTGTGGGCTGAGGCCATCTCTGCTGGGACCCAGCCCGGCACTCACCTGTCCTGACCACGCAACGCACTAGCGGCATCATCTGGGTTTAGAGTTTTAACTTCCAACTTCGCCATTCCCTTCCTTCTCCAATACTTTACAGTCCTTTTCCCAATTGTTACTTTTCGTCTGCTTGTGTATATTACCCTATTTTCACCTACATTCCAATCCTATAAACCAGAAAACATAGCTGAATGAGTAACTGGGTAAAGAGTCTCCTTGATTAGAGCCAATACCTTAAACATTTTCAAACTTTCCACAAAGGACCACATTAGATACCAACCATGACGTTATCCATGCTCTATTAAATGAATAAAATCTGGCTTAAATGACAATAACTGTGAAGATACAAACACCCGTGTTTGCTTTAACATCTTTATTATCCTGAATATAAAAGACAGAAATCCTTTAAGATATAACAGAGTTCTTTATATGTGAAACATTATTTTTTTACAAGTGAAAAAATAAATACCTCTTGGAATAAAGGCTTATATGCTAATATGTGCCATAAAAAAGTAGAGTTTTAATATCTGACAAAATGTCTGTGCAAAGAAACAAATGCATAAACACATTACTGCTACATTAAGGCAATATGAAAAGTATACTCAGAAATCTCAGTAAAGTGACAGTGTAGGTTTCTAGCTTTAACTTAGCTAGTATTGCACCCAATAAGGTCATCCAGGTTCCAGACATCCTAGAAAACCAACAAGCTGACCAGGTTCCAAAATGCCCAAGTGGGAGTGGAAAACATGATTAAGAATATAGAAACAAAACCCCCCCGAAACCCCTCTAAAACATATAGAGGGACAACAAAAAGTTAATACTTAAGCATTTACTACCAAAAAAAAAGCTTACGATATCTAGGATACCTACTATAAGGCTGTAAAAGGCTTGATGGCTCAAGCAAAAGCAACCCCACTGGCTGAAGCTGGAGCAGGGTGCGTCGGAGAACTCACGAACGACCCCTGCTTTGTACATGGCGAAGCTTCATCTCAGCGAGCAATGCTCTTCCTTCCAAGGAACATGCGCTCCCTTTTCAATCTTAAAATATTCCACCAACTCAAGAGGCCCAAGGAGTGCTGACTACTCCACAGAAATCGTCTAACCAGACTGGTAGCATTTTATAATTGAAAGGCTTGGGGCCAGGGTAAGGAGAGGGGGAAAGAATAGGACACCATCCACGTGGAGGGATCTATTTTCCACTGGTTAGACCGGTTTAAATCTGACAACTTTGTGTTCACTTTAAAAAAGTCCCCGAATCAGGCTTCCCTGGTGGTGCAGTGGTTGAGGGTCTGCCTGCTGATGCAGGGGACGCGGGTTTGTGCCCCGATCCGGGAGGATCCTGCATGCTGCGGGGCTGCTGGGCCCGTGGGCCGTGGCCGCTGGGTCTGTGCGTCCAGAGCCTGTGCTCTGCAACGGGAGGGGCCGCAGCAGTGAGAGGTCCGTGTATGGCAAAAAAAAAAAAAAAAAGTCCCCAAATCGATTTTTAAATATGTTTGCCTCCCAATCTTTCTTGAACAAGTTAGAAAAACAGAAATGACATTAAAATGACAAGTATCTCTTTAAGAAAAATTTTCCTATTAAAAATGTCCAGAGCTCTGTGACCCGTACAAAAAGAACCAAGTAAATCCTTAAAATGAATCCTTACAAAATTGGCTGCAAGTAGGAAACTTACCTTGGGATACGTTAAGGAGACTTAAACATCATTTTCTAAAAGGTACTCACTTTTGGGCTATGCTGCCACTTAACTGACGTCAAAGATCTTCCTGATTTCTTTACTTGATCATAAAAAGAAGAAAAGTCCAAGGAACGTGTCTGGGTCCCAGAGCTCTTCCTGGTCACCAACCCGGAGGTGCTGATTCTATGCATGGTACATTTTGGCGGTAAGGAGTAGTCATACTGTTTCTAGTCTTCCTTTTTTTTTTTTTCCCCCTAAACGTTGCATGGCAGATGGGCGTTGGAGTATTTATTCTCTCCACAATCTATCATGTTTATAGTTTATACCAGTGCAGTTCATGGAGACATGGCATGTCCGGTAAGTGCACAGCAGATCAGATCACAGTCAGGTTGAGAAGACTGGTGTGGGTCGGCAGGTAGACGTGCTGGACGTGGTCCACCCGTGACCTGCAGACAGGACAGGACTGGAAAAGAGAAGCCGACAGTATGGGTTAGGACACTTCCAAGGGTCTGTGTCTTCAGTGTTCACCCATGGTACCTATTACAGTGCTTTTTCTAAATACGCTGTGGTCACAATTATTTCTAGCTTTCCACTGGGAGGGCTCTTTGCTTTCTAACAAGTCTGACATTTTATACCTGACAAAGGATTAAAAATAAATACTAGGAAAAAGTATAAATGAATGAAATTAATCAGGTTTTCAGTCAAACTCTTAAACAAGGCACCGTGAGTAAAGTGATTACTGAAGACTTCTTGCTGTGCAATGAGGCTGTGGTCCCTACATGGGCTGATGATGAAGTCTCAGGCAGGGATGCAGGAGACCCTCCCGGAGACTGTGTCCTTGGCTCAGCTGGCTCAGGGTGCATCACGGGGGGATGCCACGTGGCCGGTGAGCATGGCCGCTCCTAGTCACAGGTCACAGCTCCACACCCCTGGCTGGCCTCTCAGCAAGCATGTCCCTTCCTCAGCCACACGGGGCGCCGTAGGCATGAGAATCAGACTATGTGGATGAAAAAGGCAAACCCACGACCACTCCTAGGGAAACCACTCGTCTTAGGAGTGTGATCTACTCTAAGGAAGACATGGGCATCCTCTTGGCTCATTTGTAGCCCTAAAAATAGTTCTGAAATTAGCAGCTTCCGAGGGACTAGATGTTATTTAGGGCTAATTTTACGTAAAATCACAGTGACAGTTAGCCAACCGTTCTGGGAAATGAAAACAAATTGAGAATATTGTAAAAGGAAATGCAAGGTGCAAGAAAGAAACAGATACTATGTAAGAGGTGCTTTTATTTTTTCTACTAATATTAAAATTAGTTTGACTTGCTAAGTGAGAGCTAATCCAAGGGGACCTTGGAGGCACAGGCAGTACCAAAAAGAAATTAATCACAAAAAATGAGGCGACAACCCACCCATGGATAAGTGAGAGTTAACTATCACTCAAAACTCTAAGAATTCTTTCCCAAATAATACAAGTAAGCAAAAAAGACCATCCTCCGACGTGTCAAGCAGCAGAGACAACATGAAAAGGGAAGAGAAGGAGGTGACCAGCCTCCAGGAGGCCTGGGTTCCACTGCCCGGCTCAGCCACTAACTAGATGTGGTACCTTGTGAATCTGAACCTCATATCCAGGACTTGAAAGAAGCCTGTGATTTAGTAATTACATTGCTGAAAAGAGTGTGCTAATCCAAACTGTTTCCAAAGGGCAACACCTTCCAAGTCACAGATACAAAGACCCTCTGGACGGAGATGGACATTCTCCATCTGTGCCTCCACAAGTCAGTACCTGGCCCATGCCAGCCGGCTGACCCCTCACCTGGAGCCAGGAGAACCCTCACCTGGAACTGAAAACGCCCCTTCACCTGGAGCTGGAAAACACCCCCTCACCTGGAGCCAGGAGGACCCCCACCTGGAGCCGGGGGACCCTCATCTGGAGCCGGGAGGACCCTCACCCGGAGCTAGAAATGCCCCCTCACCTGGAGCTGAAAACATCCCCTCATCTGGAGGCGGAAGGACCCTCACCTGGAGCCAGGAGGAACCTCACCTGGAGCTGGAAACGCCCCCTCACCTGGAGCTGGGAAGATCCTCACCTGGAGCTGGGCGGCGCAGCCCTCGCAGCACACAGTGTGGCCGCAGGGGCAGAAGGCTGAGTTGATCTCACCCTCGCAGCACAGCACGCACAGCATGGCCTCCTTGAGCTTGCGCAGCTTCTCCTGGAGGGCCCGGGTCTGCTGGCAGCCAAGGCCCTCGCAGCTGCCGCAGCTCATGCTGCTCTCCGAGGACTTCAGGGGAGAGTTTGGAGGGCTGGGGTCGCTTCTCGGCACGAGATCCAGCACACCCGCGTTGTACAGAGCCCTCCTGGCGTGGTCATACGCCTCCTTGGAGGTTCTTTTAATATCGAAGACATACTTCTTGCCCAGGTTGATGTTTTCGTTCAGAAACAGAGAAGCCAAATGGCCCTTCAGGTCTCGGCTGTACTGCATCATGACGGCACTGGTCACCGTGTCGCACCTACGGACAGAGATGTAACACCCACCTCAGTACTGACAGGCCTGGGCGTCCCCACGAGCCAGACCTTAAACACTGCTGTGAATAATGATGCTCATGGGAGCAGACATTAAATATTCTTGTTTGTGTGCTTGAAAATGAATTCTTCCAGTTTCATAGGTGTTAGGTATTTCAATGATTCTACCTCTGTGCTTCTCAAGTGTCTGCAAAGGAAGGAGCCCTGATCAGGCAGCTGTAAACCAGAGGGCACCTCCACCTCCAGGGACAGAACTACAGTCCAAAGCAGCTCATGGCAAGAAAAAGGAAATTCTTCTTTGTAGTCTTGGCTTTATGTTAAAAATTGCTACAAATTTTCCATTCTGCTCCACAATGTGTGTGTCTACTTTAACATAAAAAAAGGGTTGGTTGCCTGCCAATTAAACTTCTTAGCTTTTAAAAAACTTTCCAAATATTTGAGTCAAATCACAAGTCTACTTTAAAGCACCCTTGGAAATAAGGCTATCAATACAGTTATCGAGACTACACACTGAGGATTCAGGGTAGCAGCTCTCCCAGGAAGGAAAGACGACTTGGGTCATCCTGTGGGAAAAGGGCAACAGCAGCGGCTGAACAGGCCCCACCGCTCAGTCACCTCGGGGAAGGGGAGCTCTGAGGAAAGGGCTAAGAGATAAGCAGTAGAGCGAATCCATGCATCTCTCTCTCTCTCTCTCTCTGTCACTCACTCACACACACACACACACCCTGAGGGAAAAGCAGGATGATGTTGAGAAGGACCCCACTGCTATGGTAGAAATGAAGGGTTCGAAAACAACCGATTTCTTAAGCTCTATACAAGGTTCACTGACACAGTGATACCAGGAACCACAGGAGCCTTGCTGTCACCTGGAAATCTCAGCATTGTGGCAGACGCTGGGGTTACGGGGTGCACAGGGGTACGTGCCTGTAAAAAGCATGCGTCTCGGTGATGGCTCGGTAGAGCCCGCTGGCTGCCCGGGTGCTGATCATCTTGAACAAGAGCACGATGCTGTTCCCAGACTCCTTGGTGATGGTGAGGTACACGTTCTTCCCTGACTGGGTAGCCATCTGCACGACAGGGTAAGCAATCCTGAAACGTGGGAAGAGAAAAGTGAGCAAGCCCAGGGGAGATGGGTCACCATGTGTGTGCTTCTGCAGGGTTCCCATGTGCTCAGGGCCCAGCCATAAAGCCAGACACTCTGCCTGGGACCATCAGCTAAGCACTCTGCTCCCTAGGTATGAAGGCTCTTTGAAAAGAGTTGGAGAGGAGCACTGGCGCAAGTTTTGGAGTGAGTGTGAGTGTGTGTGTGAGGGTGTGTGAGTGTATGTGTGAGTGTGGGGTGTGAGTGTGTGTGTGTGTGAAATGAGATTTTTATAGCCGTGGATGACATGTGAAAAATATTAACTCTGTCACATCAGTACACTTGAGCCTATATTTAAAAAAAAATATTGGAATGGTTATCAAGGCCTGAATAAAATGAATGTACCTACCCAAAATGAAATACATTATTCCTAAAGGATGACTGTCTAGTAAATCCCTCCCCATTTCCTATTTTCACCATCAGAGCTACAAAAGTACATACACACGTAGGTCTAAACAAAAATTTAAGACTTGGGTTACCTATTAATTGGGCTGAAGTCATCTTTACAAATTGAGATTCCTTCAGGTCCAACCCCAATGAGGAGTTTCTGCCCTTCGCTGTCCCTCACAGAATGCCATTCTGTGCCGTAGTTTTCCATTGCGGACACAATCTGCAAAACCTGGTATTCAGCCGAAGCCTGGCTGGTCCCCTCCAACTCCTTATGCTTTGCCACAATGCTGCAAGACACCAAAAGGGCAGAGAGGCATACAGAAGGATTAACTGATGTAGTCTTCAGAGATAAATCGGTATCATTTTTACTAGTGAATTATACTGACACTGTCATTTACGAATCACAAAAACTCAAAGCTATATACTATTGATATTTCATTTATTTAGCAAACTTATTGTAAAAGACTTTTAAGACACTGTTCAAGATCTCAACTATTAAATCATTAGGAGAAAAAACTATGGGGGATGCCAGATGGGGATGAATTAAAAGAACTATGGAAAATCTCTAAAAATATACATAAGAAATTTATACGTAGCAATGTCTCATGCCATTTGTCTAGATTTGCTTTCTAAGTTTCATTATAATATATCATTATATGGGATTGATTAGGTCATTTGCAACTGAAAAATGCAGGATCTATTTTATCTATTGGGGCGGACAGCCTCCAATACCATCCTTAAAGGTCCCCACCTCCTGGTATCCATGCCCTCATGTAACTTCCTTCACTTGAGTGTACGCTGGAGTAACGACTTGCTTCTAATGTACAGAATACGGCCAAAGTGATGTGCTGTCACTCACTTCTGAGATTAAGTTATAAAGAGACTTTGAATCCGTCTTGGGTGTTTGCTCTTGCTCTGACTCAACTGTTTGTCCTTGGGGAAGCCAGTCCCCACGTTATCAAAACAGCCCCCCCGAAGAGGCCGCCATGGTGAAGGCACAGGCCAGCCAACAAGTCACCTGAGCCAAACTGGAAGCAGATCCCTCCCTCGTGTGAGCCTTCAGATGAGACTGAACCCCCCCAGCAGCTTGACTGCAGCCTCCTCAAAGATCTGGAGCCAGAGAACCCAACCGGGCCACAGCCAGATTCCTGACCCAGAGAACTGTGAGATGATTTTGTTGTTTTAAGCCACTAAGTTTAGGGGGGCAACCCTGTTACCCAGGAATAGATAATTAAGACATCTTTGTTAGGTCTCTTGGTTTAATCCTTGCTGGGATGAGGAAAATGCCGATAAACATGACAGACTTTTTAAGAGATATGCATTCTTAAAAGGTCAGAGATGTTACAATTCCTGTTATATAGTATTTTGTATAAGGGCATTTATTTGTGTGGATTATGTTTTGTGTTTGTAAGTTTCTCAAAGAAAAGGCTAAGAATCTGTTGAAAATAGTTGGTTATATTGGGCAATGGTCTAGTCTCAACCTTACAAATTACCTGTATCTATCATAGTTTGATTTTCTTCTGGAAATTCTTATAAATTTGCTAGATCTATGACAATAAACATGAGCCTGAACTGCAGCCTCACCTGTTCAAGGTGGCACTGCAGAGCTCCTTGGCACACAGCTCTTCATAGCTGTACTTGGCTGTGTTCTGGTTATAGTCGCCAAACTTGGTCTGGGCCAGGAGGGCACTGAGTTCCACTGCTTGCTCTGGTGAACACTGGAGGTGGCCTGCCAGGAGGGCCTCCTTGATATGCAAGAAAAAGATATGCCTGCAAAGCAATGTGAGAGTGAGGTTATGCTGAGGGACTAACTTGGTATCGGACCCAACCGCTTAGCAACTTCATAATCCCATTTAAGTAAGGAAAAGAGAGCAAGGAAGAAAGCTACCTTAAAAATGCTTACAGTTACAGACCCTTTTTTATCATGAGTAGTAAGGCAAAATAAGTCTAAGGATTAAGTTTCTCTGAAACAAAAAGTCTTAACCCAAACAAAACAAGTCTAACTATGACAAGTTCAGTAACATTCAAGTTACAAAATGTAAAATAATTATATACATGTTTCTGCATTACACTATTTAAAAGAAATGATCTTAATCAGAAAAACTTTATCTTGACGTGTAATTATTATCTTACAAGCCTCACCTTTATTCAAATGACCCTCAAATCTCTAGTTTTTTTTGATGCGCAGGCTCAGCGGCCATGGCTCACGGGGCCAGACGCTCCGCGGCATGTGGGATCTTCCCGGACCGGGGCACGAACCCGTGTCCCCTGCATCAGCAGGCGGACTCTCAACCACTGCGCCACCAGGGAAGCCCCAAATCTCTAGTTTTAACCCCAACTTCTCTCCTAAGGATCATATTCAAATATCCAAGTGCTAACAGGCTTCTCCACTGGATGGTCTTCAGTATCCCAATTTCACCTTCTTCAAAGCCAAACTTTCTCCCCAAACCCACTTTTTCTCCCAGTGGAAACCAGAGACTGATTTGTTATTTTTACCACAGACTCACTTTTGACTCTTCATCTTCCTCTGTCTCTGAAAACTCTTTAAATCCAGTTCCGTTTTTCCCATTTTTACCTCCTCTATCCTACTTGTAGCTCTCAACTGTCAGAGAATTTACAATATCCTCTAAGCTGATCTCTCTTCTAGACTCTGTGAATCCACCTTCCAAGTTGCTTGCTTCTGATATAAACTTGCCATTTCTCCACTCAGAATCCTTCAAGAGATCCCCATTGTTTGCCGAGGAAGCACACTGTCAGCATGAACCCAGGGTTCTCCGCATCTGGCCCCAGATTTCCAGCCACATCTCCTGTCATTCCCTCTAGCCACTACGTCCCAGGAAAGGGACAATTCCTCCTTCTGGAAAAACCAAGTACATTCACGCCCCCACGTCTCTGGTCTTGCTGTTCCCTCTGTCCTGAAGGCCACTCCTCCTGTCCCCTCATTTGGATACCCTTTTGTCTATATCACATGCAAACTATCTATTCCTCTATTATATTTGACATGTTCTAACTTCTAGTATTTAGCTGCACCTGAGCTGACTTCATAAGTGCCTCTAACATCAGAGAGTTCTATAAATGTACGTAAAACTACACGTGGTCTGCAACTAGTTTATATTCCCATCCTGGTTCCATTCCATCTGAGCCTGTCCTAATTGTATACAACACTGTATTCTACATTTACCGAAAGGTATGTGAGAATTAGAAATCCTGGAAAACTTCAGATATTGTTGGCTGCCAATCCGTGTTGCCGAAGATTCTGAACAGAGTATCTAAACTGTCATAGGCACACTGGCCTGGATTATGAAATCTGTCTCTGGCAAATGTATAACCTTCCTTGGATGACTCAATACAGTCTCTCAAACATGCTGCAATGCCATACTATTCCTTCTGTTAACAAATGAATTATGATCATCATTGTAAAGCTCTGAACAGGGTTCCTAAATTCCTCCCCTTCAGCTGGATACCCTTATTCCAGTCCTCGAGATGCTTTTATTTATATGCTAGCCTTGTGTCGGACATCCAGGTAGAAGGGATAACGTGAACAATGCAAAAAAAGGAGGCAAGGGAACTTGAGGCTAGAAATACAAGGAGGGGCTCTGTTGAGAGTCTCAAAACTTCAGGCTGACAAGAGCCATTTAATCCTCCTTTAAGACATGTTTAAATTCAACATTTTGTGCCTTCTATAATGATAAAGAAATGTTTAAAATTATCAGACTCTGCCAAACACTGCAGTTTTTTCTTTATTCAAAGCCCCCTATGAAGAAATCACAGTGAAGAATGCATAATAGCACTGGAAGAAGATAAGCATGGTTTTTATTAACCCAAACATCTGCTTGTCTTTAAAGTATTTCTGACATACTGCTAAACTGAGAAGGGGGTCCTTACTGGGGCAAAGAAATAACTACAAAAATAACTTGTTTTAAAATAGCTATCTGAGGACTGAGGTCTAGCCGTCCCTTAAAATCTTGGTGTTACAACACTGCTTCAGCCCTCAGAAAGCTTTTTAGAGGACTGTTCGGTAAACGTCATCTTGATTAAGGTACCTCTGTCTCTGCATTCATCAGTGGACACGTTAGTAGGGAACAAAAACTTAAATATATACTTCCATTAAAGAAGAAAGTATGTGCTGAAAGATTTTAAGGGTATCACCCAAACTAAGTTTTCTGAATTTAATTACTGCTTATGTGAAAATGTCTTTTAACTTATTTCCTAAGTATTAAGTTAGAGACTAGTTTAGCCTGCAAAAGAAGAGTTTCAAAATTGATCCAATTTCCTTTTCCAAACTATCCAGGACCGACTTCTGGACAGACAGCTGTCAAAATCAAAGGCAAAGCAGCAGCAGTAACAAAATGTTAACAGGTGGTCAGCAGCCTGAGAGTAATGTGATCCTTCCTCGGTCTGGGAGTCAGAATTTTCCAAAAGGAGGTGGGGGACAAGAGCCTTTTCAACATACTCCACATTCTCGGCTGCACTGCGGTCGATACCCTGTGAGTACAAAAATCCTCCTCCTTATCATTTACAGAAACTTTCTGGTAAGGCCCTTCCTGCATTTTGCCATTTCATGGCTATCAAGCAACCTTTTCATTTCAAGTCAACAAATCTGCCACGCATCGCCACTGTGCCAAGCCCTATGCCGAGGTCCCAGGGTGAATATATCTGATCGCTCCTGTTTCGATGGAAGGTACAGCCTTTTGGTGTCAAGGAATGTATCCTATCAAAATAACTCTGGCTACAAACTGGCTCTTGGGTGATAAGTTTATGCTCTCCAGGAGAAGAGCACGTGCAGCAGTGACAGCAAAGGTCACGCGGTGGCAGGCCATCTGCAGACTCTATTTAATGTGCTCTTTCGAAGAGGGAGAATGGCAGGGCATGCAGAAACATTTCCACACGGAATCCAGTGATGGCTCAATAATTAGGGGTGGTTTTCAGTCAAGTATTTTCTCCTATTATTTTCTCTCCAACCATCTGGCCTGTAACTGTCTGGCTCGTGGATTCCCGCCCCCCCCACCGCACCTCCCATTTCGTAAAGTGGTTAAAAGTTACCAATAATATCAAAATGAGCAGATGTGGTCAAAGAAGTCAGGCCTGCAGTGAATTTTTTTTTTTTTTTAACTAAAGATCAAAAGTGGTTGGCCTATCTAATTCAATTTAGGCTACATGTTAGAATCATAAGCAGAAAGAAAGCCTTTGGAAAAAATGATTTCTTTGTCTTAAGCAAATGTCTATGAATATGTCCTAACAGACATAAGCTCATTTTCTAAACATTGTTCTGGTTGCACCTTGAAATTCATGACTCTTCAAGCTTTACCCAGTTACTAAGAAAACGGATACACTTTCAATATATGGATGGGGTTTGGAGCCCCAAAGTGAAACGTTCTAGCTAACTCATGTCTGCATTTAATGAATTCACACTTGCTGCAGCATTAGGGAAGACTTAAAAAAAAGGGGGGGAGGGATAAATATAAGGATATGTCATATTTTAATTTTAAAAAGAGTCACATATCCTTAATATATTTTTGTTTCAGAGTATGTACTTCAGATTTCCTCTATGTTTAAAATGAACTCCTTTCCATAGCTTTATGGAATAAAGTTAGGTCATTTATCTTTTGAGAACTGTAATCAGAGCACTCTCCTCTAAACCCTGGCTTGTCTCATAAAGAAATCATCTAATAATCAAAGCAGAACTCTCTGCAAACCAATCGGGAGTTGTCGATCTGCTCATCACAGTTACTCTCAATTACTGCCCTCCAGTTATCTTCCCAGTTACATAATTTTGAAGAGCTTTTCATGACACAAATATAAAACAACTATCTCCACATTTACTATTAAACTCAAAATTAAGTAACTAACCTAAGACATCGCGAAAATGGCTAAGTAGCTATTTTTAAAAAGTCTCCAGTCCTAATAACTGAAGTGAATTTCTCCCCAAGAGACTGACTGAACTTGGCCCTCCGTTGTAATGGCTGGTTTGTCCCTCACAGAGCGAGACACCCACTGAGATCACCCATATGCCCGTCTCAGTCCAATGAGTCATTAAACCACAAGCTCGAACTGCCAAGTTATATTTAAAAATTATCAAGTCACAACAGAATTGCTATAGGTTTGTTTTGTATCTTAAATTCCAGTGAAACAAAAATCAGTTCAAGATAGATCACAGGCCTAAATGTAAAAGCTACAACTGTAACCCTTTTAGAACAAAACACGGGAGAGTGTCTTCACGACTTGGAGGTAGGTTCCCCTCAGGATGCAGTCAGCAAAAACCGTAAAAGAAAAAAGTGGATAAGTGAGACTTCACCAAGGTTAAAAACTTCTACTCATCAAAAGGCATCAAAAACACAGGCAAACCACAGGAAAAAAAAAATACACTTATAAAACACATATCTGACAAAGGACTAGTATATATAAAGAATTTGTGCAGCTCAAAAATAAAGACAACAACTCAATAAAAAAGGGCCAGTGACTTGAATAGATACTTCGCAAAAGATGTACAAAAGGCCAATAAGCACATGAAAGTGTTATTAATCAACAGAGATGCAGAAATTAAAACCACAATGTGCTACCACTATAAACCCACCTGAAACCTGGCAGGGATGCAGACGCACTGGTCCCCTGTACATTGTTGACAGGAGTACAGAATGGTACAATCGCTTAGGGAAAAGATGTGGCAGTTACTTATAAGCTAAACAATTACCTCCTCTAGGACCCAGCTCTTCCATTCTCATTTACTCAAGAGAAATGAAAACACACGTCTACAAAAGACTTGTGCTTGA